AATTGTGTCTTCAGTAATCTTGACACTCTCACTACTTTGTATGAATCTGGATGAGCAATGAATTGAGAGTGCATGTTTTATTATTGCTGATTAACAACTGATCTCCTAATGCTGGGACTAAGGCATCATAGTAGGTGACTATGGCAGAAACTGCTGGTGGATTGCTAATTGCCCAGCCTAATTTCTTCTTTTTTCAACAAACAAAACCCTATGTATTTGTGTGTGTATGTATTTGGCAGCTGGCCAAATTCAAGCTACCCTTCCTTATGGCTAGGTGAATACACATTCCTGAGTTGGGACAATGACATTAAGCATTAAGCTTTGAGTGACACTTTCGGAAAGTCTTTAGAAGCTGCTTCAGCTGAGCAGTGTGTCTTCTTTGCCTTTCTGCTCCTTTTCCTTCCTGCTGTGTGGGAGATGTAAATGAAATCTATTGTTCTAGCGCCATCTTTGTCTGTGAGATGAGCTTAAGCATGGAAGCCATATGTTCTGATAGTAGAACATAAAGATCAAAGATGCTTGGTTTCCTCTTCAGCACAGGAGAGCCATTAAGTCTTGGATGGGATATCTTTGGACTTCCATTAGCTGAAATAGATCAATGGTTACTTTATTTAATCATAATTTCATTTTATTTTATTTTTGATTACATGTTTTAATTCTAGCAAATACAATAGGGCTCGGCTATGGCTGCAAAGCCCTGAGCATAGGCAAACAAAATTTTGTATTCTGAGTGAAGAGAAGTTTTAAAACATCCAAAGCATACAGAAAAAAGATTGGATAAATAACCAAAGGGGAATCTGAAGTGAATAGTCATGATAGAGAATAAGTGAATCAGAGCCAACAGATCTGGAGTTAGAGACTAGAAGGATCTCCAAGAGGGGAAGTAGGGAATGTTTAACGGCTCATCTGTAAATGAGCTGGAGAAACAGAGGGAAGCATAATCTGTTCCTTCCCATCCTTGAAGCAAAGCTTAGGAAAGCATTAATGTACCACAGAGTGTTCAAAATGTGGGTGTCATCCTCCAGTAAATGCCACTCTGATTGTTCAGATACTTGGAGTGTCCCACAGCTGTGTCAGGAATGTACAACCTCTTATATTAGACCTGACGTTTTGCTAGGGTCAGATGGCTAAGGCCCAAGGTCAAAGACAGGCTTCTAGTGGGTTGGATAGAATAGAAATTTATTAAATATGGGATACATGTACATGAAGGGAGACAGTTTGAGATGAGCCATGGGAATGGAATGTTTCATCATTTTTCAAGGAGCCCAAGAAGTATTCCTCCAGCTTTCAGCATGGCAGATAGTATAGGTATTCAGGAGAGAGTCAGGGATGAGTCCCCCTCCCTCAATGTCTTCTAAAATTGAGAGTCCCTTGCACACCGTAGAAAGAAATCAGTTGTTTTGAGTGTCCAGAGAGGTGTGAGAGGTGGTGTACATAATTGATGCATAAACTGGCTATGGTTGCTATAAAAAAGTGAGCCATTTGGGTGAGTTTATCTACTGGAGTTTCATGATCTCTTATTTGGAACTCTTGAATGTGCTCCAGAATTACAAGTTTTTTTTTTTTGTTTTGTTTTTTGTTTTAGAAAGGAAAATATTGCACATTATATGATAGCCACAGAAGAGTATGTGGCAATAAGCTGCAATCCAATTTGCTAATATTTATACAGCAAAATGATAAATATTAACATTTGGAAGGTTAAAAATACTATAAATAGCCTCATGTCAGTTCTCTGATCTCAGAGTTCTCTGTTCTCAAAGTTTCTTGGATTTTGATATTGTGGATAAGAGACCATGGACCATTATTATCAGGAGAGCATTATGTCAATGAATGTCTAAGATGAAATCTATGTTTGGGAATAAAGAGTCCATCTACTGGGAGCTTGTCATACCAGAAGCTGCATGAAAGAACTAACTTCCCTTTACAGATGTGAAGTTTATTAGACCATGTACTAGTTCTTTTAACCCCCTGTTTACATTCTTGTGCTTTTAATTTTAATCCACCTTTTTTCAGACTGGACTGTGCCTTTAAGTAATTTTAGATCCCTAAGTGTTATATTATATGAGACCTGGCATTTCTGAGAATGTCTTTCTATTTTCCTCACACATGAATGACAACTTGACTGAGTAGTAGAAAATGGTTTTTCCTCTTTTAACATGCTGTGGCAACTTCTCTATTACCTAACAGTACATATTTATTTATTTGTATATATTATGGCATATTTATTTGTAGTTAACTAGTGTTGTGGCCTAAATGCTTGTTGGACATTTTCTTTATTATAAGTTAAAAATTTGTCTGGATGTGTCTATTTATTAACTTTATTTGGAGCATGATGAGATCTTTAGATATGTATACATTTCAGCTAAATAGATTTTTTCCTTGATTTATTGCACCCGTGCCAACTGTTTTGATTTCCTTTTCAAGTCTATCTATAGTTCTTAGTTTGGAATTTTATTCTTCCTCCTCTATATCTAGTGTGCCAGCATTGTTTCCAACTATTTATTCCTGTCCTTTGACTTATGAAATAACTTTTCAACTTTGTATTTCAAATTATGAATGAATTTTCTCCAGTGTAAATTCTACTCTGATGTACAGTAAACCTTTATTGCCTTGTTAGCTTTCTTATATGTCCATTTTCATTCAGTTTTTTCATTTTTTTTTCTTTAATGTTATTTGTTTTCCACTTCGTCTCAGCATATTCTGACCTTGTGACTTTCAGGTCCTGTATCTTATTGTCAAAAGTTTTCTAGAATGTTATTTTGGTTTCTGTAGCAAATTGTTTTCAGAAGACTGTTCTTCCCTTTCATCTTTAAGATAACTTTTTTTTTTTTTTTGTGAAGTTAAAAAAAGTAGATTGCATGTTGTTTTTCTTTTAGTTTCTACCACTGGATGTGCTCCTTGGATCTAGGTGTCAGTCAAAGCCTTTCCTCATATTTATAGCATGAAGGTAAGTTGATGTACGTAGCTCAGTTCTCACTGTCTATCAGGTGCTTATCTAGGGCAGCTCTGTTGCGTATAACTGTGATTGTTTCCTATCTCTGTGTGTATTTCTCTGACACTTGGAGGAAACAGGTTATGCAAAGACTGCAGCCTTTCCCTTGCACAGTTACCAGGGCACTTCCTGGCTCATTCGCTTGCAGAAGTTATTTTTTTCTTTTTTATGGAAACATAATTACTTTAGAGCAATGAGTCATTTTTATTTTATTTTATTTTTATTATTATTATACTTTAAGTTCTAGGGTACATGTGCATAACGTGCAGGTTTGTTACATATATATACTTGTGCCATCTTGCTGTGCTGCACCCATCAACTCGTCAGCACCCATCAACTCGTCATTTACATCAGGTATAACTCCCAATGCCATCCCTCCCCCCTCCCACCTCCCCATGATAGGCCCCGGTGTGTGATGTTCCCCTTCCCGAGTCCAAGTGATCTCATTGTTCAGTTCCCACCTATGAGTGAGAACATGTGGTGTTTGGTTTTCTGTTCTTGTGATAGTTTGCTAAGAATGATGGTTTCCAGCTGCATCCATGTCCCTACAAAGGACACAAACTCATCCTTTTTTATGGGTGCATAGTATTCCATGGTGTCTATGTGCCACATTTTCTTAATCCAGTCTGTCACTGATGGACATTTGGGTTGATTCCAAGTCTTTGCTATTGTGAATAGTGCCGCAATAAACATTCGTGTGCATGTGTCTTTATAGCAGCATGATTCATAATCCTTTGGGTATATACCCAGTAACAGGATGGCTGGGTCATATGGTACATCTAGTTCTAGATCCTTGAGGAGTCGCCATACTGTTTTCCATAATGGTTGAACTAGTTTACAATCCCACCAACAGTGCAAAAGTGTTCCTATTTCGCAATGAGTCATTTTTTATGTCTGGATGTTTTCTGGGAGTTCAAACTCCCTGCATGTAGGAATATGGTGTCTGAGGGTGGAGGTAGGATGGGGTTAGGAGTATGTGGATAGTTCAGTAACATTCTGCTGCCTTAAAAATCAGTGCTTTTGTCTAGGGGTCAGCTGCCTGTTTCGCTGTTTGGCTTATAGGATGGTCTCTGAGGGAGGTGTAGATAATGGGGAGAAGCAGTATTTCAATTTTCTTTCAGGTACAAAGGGAACAATGTTTCATGAAGTGAAAAATGGGCTATTCATATTTCATCTGGAACTTCCTTCTTTGGGGGTGATCTGCTCTACTAGCCTGCCTGCTGCTAGAGAGGCCGAGATGGTCGTGCCAGCCATGCGCTGCTGCTGGTGTCTCTGTGGGCATGACCTAGGGCTGGCATTTGGTGAGATATCTTTCTGCATCTGGTGGTCCATCCTATCAGCCCTGTGTTCTAGATTCCCCAGTGACTGACATTTAGCCAGTCTCCTCTGTCACTCTCCAGTGACATGCACACACTGTTGGCGCGAACTGCAGTCACGCTTCGCAGCCGAGAGCCTCAGTGTGCATCTGTAGTAGCAGGACGTCAGTGAGGACTGCCCTGTCACTGTTGAGCTCGACCTGACTGTGCCTGGTCTACACTCCAGGTCTGCCAAATGTCTCAGCAAGGTCCTTCACAGCAACTCTTCTGATTCAGGATCACATATCACATGTGCTTTGATGCCTGCTTGTGAACAATTTCACCTCCTGAGATGTCCGTTTTTGGGAGTGTGAGCCTTCCTCTCCTGGTGACAGTTGGCTGAGGCCGTCCAGCCTCAGATCACACTGGGAACAGATGCCTAAGGAGATCTGGGACAGGGGGCCCACCAAGATGTTCTGCCCTGTGGGGGGCAACGCCGGCTGTTGTCCGCCGGCGGCATCCAGGGACAGTCTATCCAGGTGAAGCCGAGGCCACTCCCACTTGCTCCCTCACCCTCATGCTGACAGCAGTGAGCTGACCATAGCCCTGGGGAGCCCCACAGGGAGACTGGCCTCCCCAGCACATGCCCAGCAGTGCGAGATGCAGTCGTCACAGAGGCAGGTACACGACACCACAGATATGCCACGTACCCCTCATCGGGACCAAGGTCCACTGAGAAGCCACGAAGGCCATGCTTCCAGCAGTGACTGTGGTGGCAGGACTGTCAGGAGGCCATAAGTGCCACGGCTCCCCTCTGGTGGTTCACCTGCCCACTTGCACCTGGGGTGGCCCCTCCAGTGCGGTCCCAAGAGCAGAACACCCGCCAGGCAACACGTCTGATGAAGGCCAACAGTGTGAGTCCTCTGGTGTTTGGTGACGCCGGAGCTGTGCCAAAAGGCCTTCCCACACTGCTCACACTTGAAGGGCTTCTTTCTGGTGTGGACCCTCTGATGGCGAATGTGGTCTTTCTTGTGCTTAAAGATCTGCCTGCATTCACTGCACTCATAAGGTTTTTTCCTCTGAAAAGGAATGAACAAGGGAACCCCCTCAAAGGCATTTTTAAATGAAGCGTGGAAGGCATCAAAGATGCGCTCTTCTTCAGGACTCAGGCGGGGCTCTGTGCGGGGCTTCCTGGGCACAGTGGGCATCTCAGGTGGCTTTCTGTCCCCGGATGCTTTCTGTCTGAGCATGCTCTTCTGCGCATCGGCTTTCTCCCTCGAGGTCGGAGTCTTCTTTTTTCTGCCTGCAGGCTTCTCCACCGTTCTCTGTTCCTTGGAAGCCTGAGGGCTGAGGAACTGCTGACTTCTCTCTGTTGGCACCACTTCAAGAATGGCTTGCTTCCCACTCTTCGTGCTCCCAGCTCAGGACTGACGCTCTACACCGGGAGGCCAAGGGCCACCATTCTCTTGCTGGAAACGAGGGACGACGAGGACCTTCCACTGCAGAGCACGGATGGGCCCGGGCCCTACCAGGACTGCTGGAGGGTGGGGCAGGGCAGGCACGCCTCTCGCTGGGACCAGGGGTGGGAAAGGGGCGCCCTCTTTGCGGGACCCCCATGGCTCCCTGCTGTAATGTAAATGGGGAGCCGAGCAAGAAGACACGAGGCAGATGAGAACAAAGGTAGCCTTTATTGGGCTCCCGGGCAGGCGAGGGTCACCGGTCCTCTAGGGTGAGGGCCAAGGAAGTCGCGCTTGGGGGCCGGCGTTGGGGGCGGGTATCGGGGGCCTTTTATAGGGCGAGGTAGGCGGGGTTTTTGGTCTTGGTTTTCCTGAGTTAGGTTTCGATTTGTGGGGAATGACACCAGGAGCTTACACACAGCCGGGGTTCTTTGGCGGGCGCCGGCTTTTTTCAGCGCTGAGAGTCTTAGCAGGAAGTGAAGGGCGGCAAGTCCTAACAAAGGGCCTGCGGGAAGACCTAACAAAAGGCCTGCCATGCCGGGTGATACCGTCATGTTGGGTCTAGATTCCTGCCTAATACCTGCCCACGTCCCCTGCAGCCCTCTGCACCCACAGAAGATGTTCTTTTGTTGAAACTAAGTTGTTGCTCATAAAATGAATAGGTATTGACTTCTAAGGCACATATTCTATTGATGTCAGCATATATGCATTGCTGCTTACTATACAATAGACAATAGACGATATTTTTGAAACGTTTTATTATGGTGTATTAGTCCATTTTTACAATGCTGATAAAAACATACTCGAGACTGGGCAAGTTATTCAAGAAAGAGGTTTATTGGATTTACAGTTCCACATGGCTGGAGAGGCCTCACAATCATGGTGGAAGGTGAAAGGATGTCTCACATGGCAGCAGACAAGAGAAGAGGGAGCTTGTGCAGGGAAACTCCTGTTTTTAAAATCATCAGCTCTCATGAGGTTCATTCATTATCACCAGAACAGCGCAGGAAAGACCTGCCCCCATAATTCAATCACTGCCCACTGGGTTCCTCCCACACACGTGGGAATTGTGAGAGTTACAATTCAAAATGAGATTCGGGTGGAGACACAGCCAAATCATATCATTCTGCCCCTGGCCCCTCCCAAATCTTATGTCCTCACATTTCAATACCAATCATGCCTTCCCAACAGTCCCCCAACGTCTTAACTCATTTCAGCATTAACTAAAAAAGTCCACAGTCCAATGTCTCATCTAAGTCAAGGCCATTCCCTTTGGCCTATGAGCCTGTAAAATCCAAAAGAAGTTATTTACTTCCTACATACAATGGGGATATATGCATTGGGTAGATACAGTCATTCCAAATGGGAGAAACTCGCCAAAACAAAGGGGCTTCAGGCCCCATGCAAGTCAAAAATCTAGCATGATGGTAAAATCTTAAAACTCCAAAATGATCTCCTTGATTCCAGGTATCACATGCAGGTCAGGTTGATGCAAGAGATGGGTTCCCACGGTCTTGGACAGCTCCGCCCCTGCGGTTTTGGAGGATATAGCCTCCCTCCTGGCTGCTTTCACAGGCTAGTGTTGTGTGTCTGTGGCTTTTCCAGGCCCATGGTGCAAGCTGTTGCTGGATCTACCATTCTGGGGTCTGGAGGATGGTAGCTCTCTTCTCACAAGTCCACTAGGTGGTGACCCAGTAGGGACTCTGGGTGGGAGCTCCAATCCCACATTTCCCTTCTGCACTGCCTTAGCAGAGATTCTCCATGAGGGGCCCACCCCTGCAGCAAACTTCTGCCTGGGTAACCAGGTGTTTTCATACATCCTCTGAAATCTAGGTGGAGGTTCTCAACCCTCAATTCTTAACTTTTATGCACCTGCAGGCTCAACACCATGTGGAAGCTGCCAAGGCTTAGGACTTCCATCCTCTGAAGCAACAGCCAGAGCTATACCTTGGGCCTTTTGAGTCATGTCTGGAGTGGCTGAGATGCAGGACACTAAGTCCCTGGACTGCACACAGCCGAGGAACCCTAGGCCTGGCCCAAGAAACCATTTTTTCCTTCTAAACTTTGAGGCCTGTGATGGGAGGGGCTGCTGCAAAGGTCTATGACATGCCCTGGAGATATTTTCCCCACTGCTGCAAAGTTCTCTGACATGCCCTGGAGACTTTTGCCGCATGGTATTGATGATTAACATTTGGCTTCTCATTGCTTATGCAAATTTCTGCAGCCAACTTGAACTTCTCCTCAGAAAATGGGACTTTCTTTTCTATCGCATTATCAGGCAGCAAATTTTCCAAGCTTTTATGCTCTGCTTCCCTTTTAAAACTGAATGTCTTTAACATCACCCAAGTCACCTCTTGAATGCTTTGCTGCTTAGAAATTTATTCCACCAGATATCTTAAATTATCTCTCTCAAGTTCAAAGTTCCACAAATCTCTAGGGCAGGGGAAAAATGCCACCAATCTCTTTGCTAAAACATAACAAGATTTGCTTTTGCCCCCGTTCCCAACAAGTTTCTCATCTCCATCTGAGTCTACCTCAGCCTAGATTCCATTGTTCATATCATTATCAGCATTTTGGGTAAAGCCATTCATTCAACAAGTCTGTAAGAAGTTCCAAACGTTCCCACATTTTCCTGTCTTCTTCTGAGCCCTCCAAACCATTCCAATCTCTGCCTATTACCCAGTTCCAAAGTCACTTCCACATTTCCAGGTATCTTTTCAGCAGCACCTGACTCTACTGGCACCAATTTACTGTATTAGTCCATTTTCATGCTGCTGATAAGGACATACCCAAGAATGGGCTATTTACAAAGGAAAGAGATTTAATGGACTTACAGTTCCACATGGCTGGGGAGGCCTCACAACCATGGTAGAAGGTGAAAGGCACATCTCACATGGTGGCAGACAAGCGAAGAGAGAGTCTGTGCAGGGAAACTCCCGTTTTTAAAACCATCAGATCTCATGAGATTCATTCACTATCACAAGAGCAGGGCAGGAAAGACCTGCCCCCATGATTCAATCACCTCCTACTGGGTTCCTCCCATGACACATGGGAATTGTGGGAGTTACAATTCAAGAAGAAATGTGGGTGGGGACACAGCCAAACCATATCGTATAGTAATCTATTCTTAGGTGTTGGGTTTAAGAAAAGATGTAATGGATTTCAGTGTATGAATAAACATTTAAAAGAATTTTTAAAAATTATTTAAAACTTTTTTGTGGGTATATATAGGTGTATATATTTATGGGGTACATGAGATGTTTTGATACAGGCCTGCAATATGAAATAAGCACATCATGAACAATGGGGTATCCATGCCCTCAAGCACTTTTCCTTTGAATTACAAACAATCCAATTATATTCTTTAAGTTATTTAAAAATATACAATTAAGTTATTGTTGACTATAGTCAGCCTATTGTGCTATCAGTAGTAGGTCTTATTTATTCTTTCTTTTATTTTTATTTTTTGTACCCATTAACCATCCCCACCCTCCCCAGCTCCCTACTACCCTTCCCAGCCTCTAGTAACCATCCTTCTATTCTCTATGTCCATGAGTTCAATTGTTTTGATTTTTAGATCCCACAAAAATGTGAGAATATATGATGTTTGTCTTTCTATGTCTGGCTTATTTCACATGAACATTTTTCTTTATCGGTAGACTTTTCCTCCATGTTTAAGAAAAAAGTATAAGGGAATAAAGTCAGTAATAATATTGTGAATTTAGACAGTGAAGATACTTTGGCTCAAAATGATCAATCAAATGGTAGTTCAACAGGAGTTGCACACATAAATAATCTGATTTATTGAACTTCCTTCAGCCAGATAGAGCAGTTGAGTCAGTTGAAGGTAGTAAAAACACTATCCTCTTTGTTGGGCCTTGGGATAAATGGGCTCTGAGGTAGACAGAAGCTAGTTTTGTTCTAAAGGAGCAGAGTGTATGCACACGCGCGCGCGTGTGTGTGTGTGTGTAGCATGAGATTGCTGTTGTTGCCATTGTATCTATTCATTAGCATGATATCCTGTGTCTCTAACTGATAATGGAAAAGATGGAAGGCCAAGAAGCCAATCCACAATCCAGGAAGGAAAATGTGTCTACAGTCATAAGGATCTCCTATTATGAGACCCAGAGTGGAATTTGTAGGATGGGTTGATTCATGGTATTTCTATTTCTTCCTTTGTCCACATGCCCAATATATGGATATCCTTCTGCTTTTATTTTAAGTACCCAGTGTGAAAATCCTTAGTTAAGTTAAGCTATGTGAGTAGACTATAGAGAACTGGAATAGTTGCAAAAATACTGAATTTAGCCCATAGAAGTCATTCAGCAGTATAAGGTACCAGGAACGCAGTGAACTATTATGGAATTGTCACAGCCTAGGATGAAATGTTTTTAGAGCCTCACCTGTCACCCAGGCTGGAGTGCAGTGGCACGATCTTGGTTCACTGCAACCTCTGCCTCCTGGGTTCAAGCGATTCTCCTGCTTCAGCCTTCTGAGTAGCTGGGACTACAGGTGCCCGCCACCATGCCCAGCTAATTTTTGTATTTTTAGTAGAAACAGGGTTTCACTGTGTTGGCCAGGCTGGTCTCAAACTCCTGACCTCATGATCTGCCCGCCTTAGCCTCCCAAAATGCTGGGATTACAAACATGAGCCACCGTGCCCGGCCAGTGTGATTGTACTTGTAACTGACTTCAGATAATTCAAGATCTCAGTATGAGAAATACTGAATTAGTTCAATCTGCTTCATTATGTATTCTTTTTGACTACTAGCATTATATTTATTCATTTATTCAATCAACATTTGTTTAGTCTCTACTATGGCTAGGCTAGGTATGGCTTCCAAATGTTGGGGGTATAGCAGGGAACGAAAGTGCCTTTCTTTCCTAGTGGAGATCATAGTCTGAATAATAAAAGAGAGGAATATATATATATATATGTGTGTGTGTGTATATATATATCTGTGTATATATTCAGATATATATACACACACGTATATATATATTCAGACAGTGATAAATGCTATGAGGAAAAGCAATATAGAATAAGGAACAGAGAATGACAGGTTAGCGGTGGTTGTAAAGAAGGTCTTTTTGAAGAGACTGTCTGCCAGTCTTAGATTTGGAGAAAAGTATAAAAGTCCAGCTTTTTCAACGTTTTCA